TAATCATTTATAGGTTTTTAGTTTTAGTGGTTCATCAGAATTTTTTTCTCAATATTTTTTTCTCAATATTTTTCTCATACTGGCTCCAAATAAAGTCCAGCCTGCTTTGATTTATCAGCCTGTCCAGTCAAAATGAGAAATGGTTTTCTTGCCATAACCTTACAAATAGAGACACAACACTCAGTAAGAAAACCCACACACATTTCAACCAGAACCGGAAACAAGGCAGCTGTTTGTTCTTTTTAAGGGCAGGTCACACTAGCCAATAGCTAAGGTGTTGCACTAATCTGATACAGATAAATCACAGATGAAAACCTGGATCACAAATGATGTGCTCCAGGCAGTGGGAGAAAATAACCTGCATTATCCTAAACTTTTGTAACTTTGCAAATGTTTTACATGCATAAAAAAATAACCAACAGCTAAACTCAAAATGCATAATGTATTAACAGTGATTATTGACACGTGATAACTAAGGAGACTAAGCTCTTCTGAAAGAGGTGCAATGATTGTGTGAGGCTGATGAATCTATTGATCAGACAAACACTATAATTACCATGATGGCTAAAGATCATTTTATTTGAAAGTTTAATTTTGAGGCTACTTATTCGACCGTTATTAGACACTAAAGTATTCAAGCACACAAGGACTTGATTAAAAGGGATGACTGAAGTGAAATGCACTGCTAAATGTTTTCTGTTATTCAAAAATAACACACGGAAATGAATAAAGATCATTATGCACAGAGTTCTCATTTTATCAATGATGAAGATGTTTAATTCATTTCAGTTTTATTTATATATCATTAATTGACAACAACAGTTGGCCCAAGGCCGTTTCTGTTTCAAGTTAAAGACCCTACAATATTAGAAAGAAACCCCAACAATCCCACAACCTCCTGTGAGCAAGCACTTGGCAACAGTGGGAAGAAAAATCTCCCATTCAACAGGAAGAAACCTCTGGCGCCATCTGCTGCCACTGGTCGGGGGTGATGGGGAAAGAAAGAGCAGAGAGACCGGACAAAAGGCAGACTAGGAGAGAGAGCTAGAGATGAATAATAAGTAATGATTAAATCCAGTAGTGGTGTATAAGGACACAGAGAGTGAAAGGAGACACGTGAAGAAGAAACGCTCAGTGCATCATGGGAAGCCCCCCCCACCCAGCGTCCAACCGACCGTAACCCTAAAGGAAAAGTTTAAGCCCAAGCATTAAAGTAGAGAGGGTGTCTTGTCTCCCAGATGCAAAACTGAGTGCTGGTTTCATGGTAGAGATTCACAACACAGAAGCATTTTACTTCTGCTATGAAGGAATACAATTTATCTGCATAACATTTTCATTGTAACAATAAAGTAAAGCATCTAAAAGAAGCAGATGGTGTGTCACTGGGGGGAAAAAGTATCTTAACATGAATTGTAAAACAGTAAAAATGCCCGAGGGCATTTTTAAATGAAATGAAATGAAAGAAGTGTTGTTCTTGCTGTACTAAGTGAAACTGAGTGCAACACGGTATGGTGTATTTTCTCATCTTCTAATTTTGGCTGGCATGTTTGCTCAATAACTCAGCAGTGTTTCATCTTTTCCTTTTTTGTCCATGGTGCATAAAAGAAGCGCTCCCTATCAGCAACCTTTCCTTACAGCAAACGGTTTTACTTTTCATGTAAAACTGTTTGCTGGGAGTCTTGTGAAAAACACAAGTTTAGATAATAATAATGGTACCCATTAGCATATAGTAATGTAAAGCAGATTAATGTAACAAATATTTAACATTAGTTGGTGTGAGCCTGCTTTAATAGAAAAGGCTTACAGTTACTACATTAATAAATCCCTCTGTGGTCTTTGCTGCCATTTTTAGATCATGTTCGCTTCAAATCTCTCTTAAAAGAAATACTATTCAGTACATTAAGATTCAAAGGACTAATCATTTTTCTGCACAACCCCAGCCATTTGAATATATATACCTCTGTGATGCCACGTTATATAGATGTCGATATATACTGCATACTAGGTGTGTCTGCTGTTTTCAAACTTGTAGCTCCAAGGCATCAGGCAGCAGCTGTTGTTCACCTCCAAAAGATTTCTGCAGTTTCAACATGCTGATAACTGTGAAATGTGTGGTGCAGGTAGTTTAATAATCCTCATGCTCAGACTAGTATTTGCCAGACCAGTCATGATTTTTCTATATGACCCCATTCTACCTTATTTGATACACTTAGTGGAGGTCAAAAAGGATTGATTTTCTTAATGGATACAGAGAAGGGCTGGATTTATGTCAGCTGTATCTATTTTTTCTGTGGTTATGCAAAACTAAAGCCTTATGGCATGTAAACTAAATTAAACCAAAAAAAATGAGTTGATCATTGGGTTACGCTACATTGCCCTCTTGTGGCCGTTAGAATTAGGGGGAATTAAATTAAAATATAGTTGATTTTATTATAACTCAGTTTTTGAGCTTCTTGGATCAAGTTTTGGCAGTCGAACCGTTTATGAACACAGCTCAACAGTTTAAGTGTTAAACTTTAGTTTCTGGACAACATCCTAAAATCCAACAGTGACAAAGTGTTCAAGAAACATCAGTGAACATAAATCTGTTTGACTGCTCTTCCTCCTGCAGTAAAGCCGGTCTGGTGGCACTACCGTAATGACGAGCAGTTCCTCCTCTTTCTGTTAAAGTGTTTCCCAACAGTCACAGAGTCAACGAAAACATGACAGCTGATATTTTTAGATGCGATTGAGCACATGATTGTTCTTTCTGCTTCACAGCTCATCTCATCATAATCACTGATGTGATCGAGGGCTCGAGGAAAGCCTCAGCTTAGGGAAGAGGCATCAGGCTGGTGGGATTATTTGAGGGAATTCAACCAGTCAAACTATAAGTGAATACAAAGCACGTAGTTCATGAGACGAACAGATAATAGTTTGCTTCTTTTTCAGTAAATGGTGTTGCGAAGATATTGATCTCAAAATTTCAGCTATTAAGTAAAATTTTGACCTGCTTATCTTAAAATTTTGAGATAACACAAAATGTTGATATTAAACCAAGAATTTTGACTTAGATCATTTTTTTTTCTTTTTAGTGGGGGAAACAAACTTCTGTAGTGACAAGTACAACCTTAACTATAAATCCTATATTAACATTTATATTAACAAAGGGTCAAGTAATGATTTCTAATATGAACTGGGTTGATTAACGTGAGCAGCCCACAGAGACCCTCAACTCTACAGTTCCTTTCTACAGAGATCTAAGTGTAATATTCCTACTGACTGTTACTGTACTGTGGTTGAAATAAGTGATAGCTCAAGTTTGAACTGAAGCAGCAGGCAGATTTCTTTCAGACACAGAAACCTGCTGTCCAAATTAAACAGCCAGATGTTTCCTTCAAGAGCTGGTGGGGGACAAAACTGAGATAAATGCTGAAATCGAATTTGTCAAATGTCCACAAACATAATATAAAAACTAATGTAGCTCTGTTGATAACATGAAAATGTGGAAATAAATTGAAACTGACGAAGGTGATTCCCACCCACTCATCCATCTTCTTCCACTCATCACAGTGAAGCTCGAGCCTCAGCTGCCACATAGCAAAACACGGGGGTGTTGCAGGGCTGACACAAAGAAACAACCACTCACATTCACCCCTACAGCTAATTTAGAATCACCAATCTACCTAACCCCACTAACTGCCTGTCTGAGTACCTGGAGAGGACCCACTCGGCATGAAAATTCCACACAGGAAGGTCTCAGGCAGATTGGATAGTGGATTCAAACCCCAAACCTTTTTGCTGTGAAACAACAGTGCGAACCACTTCTCCACTCTGCCGTCCAGGTCTGATAGCATGATTCCCACCAATGTGGTACAAAAAAGAATCTGATTTTTATATTTTAGTAATTAAAGCAAGTTATTCATCTTCTTAAAATTCAGCTCAGATTAATTTTACATTAAAAAATCTTTTATGACTGCAGTGTTGGAAGAACGCAGTGCTCGCCTTTTTTTCTTCCTTGGAGAACAAATGTGTAACTGAAGATCTATTTTTTAGAGTAAACATCCTCGTGATGGATTATGCTGGAGTGAGGTTCTCTTCGGTGATAGTTAAAGGTTATGCTTGGCAAGGACACTGCAGGATGTTCCACATCTGCAGAGATCTCTGCTTTAACGTGGCTGTGCAGATGCCCGCTCTCATTTCACTGCAGAGCAGATCTGAAACCCAGGTAATGGGATGCTAATTGGGCTAATAAATGGAAAAGCTGTCCCAGTGTGTCGGATTAATCTTGCTCCCCAAAGGACTTCAGTCATGCCCGCTGTCTAGTCAATTAAATGTTTAGTTAACACAAAAGACTAATGGGAAAAAAACACAAAGGTTACCGGATCGAAGTGGCTTCAGATGGTCCCTCATCCATTTTGAGCCTGCATGGAAACTCCTATTAAACTTAGTTTAATCCATTTTTATTGATTGCATGTACTTCTGCTATCACGTTTGATTTGTTTCAGACTAACAGGCAGAACAAATGCAGAGTATAGAGGCAGTCACAATAAATGATCCGCTTCAGCATTATCATTTGACATAATGATAGCAGTTACTGTCCTTGTATACTGGCAGAAAGAAGCTCAGATGAAGAAAGTTTAAGTTTTTACCAGCTATAACACATTTAAGGAGCGATCCCCCCCCCCCCCCCCCCCCCCCCCCTTTTTATTTCAATGTTTGCATTTTTTGGTAAAATACGTAGAAAGAAAGAAAGAAAGAAAGAAAGAAAGAAAGAAAGAAAGAAAGAAAGAAAGACTACAAAATTGCAGGGATTGAATCAAATTCTTCTTCTTATCATTTTCTATCTAGTAATCTTAGAAAATAAACCAATGTTGTGGACAAAATTAAGAAGAAAGAAGTGAATTACATAACTGAAGCGTTAGCTTAAATATGTCAAATCAAAGTAATTTGAGAAAAGGAGCAGAGATCCTCTTTACCAACCATAATAATCTAAAATATGTGGGTTTCAAATCCTCCAAATTAGCTCGATCAGTCAACCCAGATCACAATCTCCGCCCCTCTTTACGCATGCGCAAAGTAGTGTGGGGAGCTGTCCAGTCACTCGGTGCTGGAGCGTTCTCGGAGAAGCAGCTTCCCCTCTCCGGTCCACCGACACAGACGGGAGCGATGGAGGAAGAGTTGAAATGCCCCGTTTGCGGGTCTCTCTTCAAGGACCCCATCCTGCTTCCGTGTTCCCACAACGTCTGCCTGGGATGCGCTCGGAACATCACCGTCCAGACCCCGGAGGGGGAGACCCCGGTGCAGAGCCGAGCCTCGGGCAGCTCTGACTACGACTACCTGGACATGGACAAGATGAGTCTGTACAGCGAGACGGACAGCGGATACGGCTCCTACACGCCGTGCCAGCTCAAGTCTCCAAACGGGGTGCGGGTGTTTCCGCCTGCGATCCCCCACCGACAGTGCACACTCACCTGTCCGCTGTGCCACCGGAGCGTCTCTCTGGACGAGCGGGGGCTTCGGGGTTTCCCTCGGAACCGGCTGCTGGAGGCCATCGTGGCGCGGTACCAACAGACCCGCGGCGCCTCCTCCTCATCTTCCAACGCGGTGAAGTGCCAGCTGTGCGACCGCAACCCGGTGGACGCGGCGGTGATGTGCGAGCAGTGCGACGTCTACTACTGCAACGCCTGCCAGCAGCGATGCCACCCGTCCCGCGGTCCCCTCGCCAAGCACCGACTGGTGCCGCCGCCAAACAAGGCGGCAGGAGCGGGGCTAGCGGAGGCGGCGGTGGTCAGCAGCCGCCCGCCACCGCGCGGAAACCGGCGACGTGCGTGGATCACGAAGCGGAAAACTTCAGTATGTACTGCAGCAGCTGCAAGGCTCCCGTGTGCATGAAGTGTCTGGAGGAGGGAAAACACGCCAAGCACGACGTCAAACCGCTGGCCGTGATGTGGAAGCAACACAAAGTGAGTGGACACGCACTCACAACATCCACAGAGTCAAGGCCGTAAGGTTCTGTTAGTGCGCTCATACTAATAATTAGACTATTGAATCCCAAAGAGCTGATTCATTACTCTCTCTCTCTCTCTCTCTCTCTCTCTCTCTCTCTCTCTCTCACACACACACACACACACACACACACACACACACACACACACACACACACACACACACACACACACACACACACACAGAGGCTACCAGAGGCCATTACCCGAAGTGCCCTGAACTGATGATCAGCATCTCAAACATCTATCTATCTATCTATCTATCTATCTATCTATCTATCTATCTATCTATCTATCTATCTATCTATCTATCTATCTATCTATCTATCTATCTATCTATCTATCTATCTATCTATCTATCTATCTATCTATCTATCTATCTATCTATCTATCTATCTATCTATCTATCTATAAATGACTGCTTCATACTTCATCATGTTTTCCACAGAAACAGAAAACACTCATGTGTGATCCTGTGCTGAGTGTGTGTGTGTGTGAGTGTGTGGGAATAACTAAACGAAATAGCAGTGATTCATCAGAACATAATTACTGTAGGCGTCAAAGCCCAGTGTGCTTCTGTGTGCACTGTGTATGTGTGTGAATGCAACATGCGTCATCACATGAAGGGTCGCACAGCGTTACTGCCCCACATCTGCACTGCAATGTATATATATATATATGATGTGGATGGTGAGTGTAGGCAGAGGAGGTCATCGCTATTCCTCAGGCGCTGGGATGAAGAAGCTCAAGTCATGAGTTTAAATGTTTCCCTGTCTGTGGCTGGTTATAATCTGACAAGAGAGTGAATTATAAAGTAAATAATTAGCATATCTACACTTTTTAAAAACATATCTGTTGATGTGGAATAAATTTAAGGCAATTACTTCAGTCTGAAGGAAAATGTTTACATTTTAAAAAATCTCGACTTGTATATTTGAAAATTGTTCTTGAAAACATGACTGCTGACGATAGCTGATGATGTACTATATATCATGCTGGGTATCTCTAATGATATGGACTGGACAGAGTGTTATGATTGCAAGGATGCCACGTCATTTGGTGGAAATTCGATTTATCAACCTACAGAGGACTGAATTCAAAAACACCTCAGAAATCAAAGTGTAAAAATTAAGGTTAGTCCATTTTTTCAAAACTTGGTACTCAGATGCAGTAGTTTGTTGTCACAATGTGCTTATATATGCCCGACCCTTGTCAGGGCATGCTCCTAATGAGACAATGGATGGTGTCCTGGGGGATCTCATACCAGATCTGGGAGGCATCCCAGAGGTGTTCTGTTGGATTTAGGTCAGGGGAGTGTGGGGGTGAGTCAGTGGTATCAGTGCCTTAATTCTCCAGCATCTGCCTCCATATTTTCACATGAGGCATTGTCATGCACAGGTAAGAACCCAGGACCCACTACACCCACAGTCTAGGGTCTGACAATGGGTCCAACAATTTTATTCCTAATATCTCTATAAGCCACAGAAAATCACTGACCCACCACCAAACTGGTCACGCTGAACAATGAACAAGCGTATTGTTTCCATGGCTTCTCCAGACCTTTGCTCATGATTAACCTGCCTCATGTGACACTGACTCTAACCAAATGAAAAACTAGTGAAGAAAAAATCAGAAATGATGAGGAGGTGGGTTGGCGGGCTGTCTCCTTGTTGCCCCACACCTAGTGATAATTTCATAACACCAAAAATGATTAGCAACCCTCTCTGCTACTCGATCAGATCAATATTCCAGACGTTTAACTGACTTGATGCTATACTCAGATTAAAACCAATTTCTTTCATTTTTTGAGAAGTGTATAAAAGAGGAATGGAAAATTCAGCTCTGAACGGTGAGGTCAATGTGGAAATATCGTTAACCTGTATTCTTTTTGATGGCCAGCAAGGGGAAACTCCGGTGGATGTTCTTGAAAGTCTAATTGTGTAAAAAATAGTCCCTTTTTTATGTCATCCGTGAACTAGTTTTTAATTTTCCTGATAATTTTACGGTCTCAGTCGGTAGTTTTAAGCCTTATTTAATACCACACGGTGATCATTTTGTAAATTCTAATCAATTTTTTGAGAAAAAGAGTAAAGCAGGATGTGATGTAGTGTGCAACAGGCTTGCAGCATGTTGTATTCTCAATTTCTCAGATAGATCCATATAAACAAGTCTCTGAAAACTCAAAAAAGAAATATTAAATAAGTATAAGAATGAAGAAAATGCAATTAACCCAAGACAGCAGTCAAACTCATGTTTATTTTCTTCTGCAAATTAGCAAATCTAAATATAGTTTTAGTTGAACATGTGAAAATATTTTTTTGAGATGTTATGTTCTAAGTAGAAGGCATTGTATACATTTTTGTTGTTCAAATTTAGATGATGAGGATGTAAACCCGAGGGGGTAGGGCTAAATAAGTATATACTTCTGCCTACTCCTTTTCAAACAACTGTATGGAATGATTTTATGAAATGTTGGTGAATGTATATGTTTGAAATAAAAAAGAACTGAACTGAAAACCAAAATAACAAACTTCAAGCTTCAAAATGTGTGGCATGGTGTCTACATGTGTCTTTAATATAGTATTTTTTGTTTTGACTAAATGAAAAATTTAAATGGCTTGCTCTACCTCTGCCTAAACATTTATTTTTGAAATCTCTAAACCCATTTTGTGTTTTTCCTTTAAACATGTACTGTAAATGCAATAAGTCTACTTTATAGTTGTTTTTGTCCATTTGATAAGCAAATATGTTGAATAAGCAAAGAAATGGATGGATAGATGGAATTAAATGATTAGGATGTTGGTGATTTTTCTTTGGCTTTGGCTAAAACGTTTTTTGAATTTTGTTTTTTTCGGGGAGGAGAACAATTCCTCTATAGTGTAAAAACCCTGCTTTGCTGTACAGCAATCCATCAGGGATTGTTGGATTTGTAAGGCAGGATACAGAAAGCAGACTGAGATTACAATGTTTGTTATCTTAACCTTAGTTTCTGCAAATATTTGTAACTGTATCAGAAAAATTGAGCAATTTCTTATGTACAAACTGCAAATAAACAGTGCATGGCTTTGCACCAAATCCTCATCCAGCAACCTTCTCAAACCTCTGCTCAGCATTGCTACAAACACCCAGTGGTGCCATCGCCAGATCTCAAGTGATGGTGGTGAGTTTTCCCTCTTTAGCCTGTGGACTTAAGGCAACATGGAGTATTATCGATCAATGGTTTCTCGTTAACTTAGTGGAGGTCTTATCATATTTCTTTATGAACGTGGTAAAACTGATTCTAATCCAAAAAACTGATGCAGTTAGACAGTAAACCAAATTTGGTTTTGCATGTAAATCTAAAGTTTTGAAACTTAAGAAAAAAAATAGACAATTTTGGACTTTTGCATCACATTTTCCTCCTAGACATTAGGGTCCGAATGTGATTCAAACAGATCATGTTTGCAGTAATTCAGAACTTCTTGTTAGTGAAAAATGCAGTGGAGGACATTGAACTTGGCTTGTAATAATTTGGATAGTCGTCTTCATCTTATGTGAGTAAAACTTTCATTCATTCTACAATCAGAAGGGACAAGGTTTGGCTAAAAACCTACAACACTGTTCCTTATCCAAATTCATCCCTGCCTGCCAAAAAAAAGGAGGAACAAACCCGCCTGCTGGTTTCATTAATGGATGATTAAACTGATTTATGATTATTTCATTTCCTAATGACATTTTTCATTAATTTCAAAATCCAGGGTTGAGGTCGACTCAGGTTCATTCCTCTCGGGCTACGCGGTGACGTGACTTTGTAAACTCTAAACGATAGTGCTGTCTGTTATAGTTCATGTATCGTCATTATTTTTTTAAATTGTTTTTGAAGAAATGTTGGATTTGTTAATACGTGAGTCAAAATGTTTAGTCTTATAGTTATCACCATTATGATAATTATCATTATGGTAAAAAAAAGGCCTCAGGGTCTGGAAGTAAAGGAGTTTTAAGAAAATGTTTTAGCTACTTTTAAAGGCCCATAACGCGTTGAATGTTTATCCAGCCCGTGTCTCCTTTTAGATTTCAGCTTGCTTTCTGTTAGTAATAGAACATTTCATCCTCGCACTCCGATTTCATTTGTGTAAACTAAAAGCCATTTTTGCCTCTCTCCTGCTAAGTGGGTCATTGGGACTAATCTCTCAGTCTGCCTCTTGTGTTTTTTGTGTGATTTGAAGCCTCCAGACATTCCATTCATCATTTATCCGCCACACATCTCTTCGCCTCTTCTTGGCTTTCACTCATCTCTCACCTTCTCCTGTATCCCTCACTTTACCTCTTCATCTCTGTATCTTATTTACACTCTCCCCTCCCCCTCATTTACCTTCCCCTACCTCGTCTCGTCCTTCCTCCATCTTTCTCTCTATCGTCCTATCCCATAAATAAACCGTGAAAATCCCATCAGACTACGGGAGTGAGAGGGGGTGTCGATAAGTGACGAGCGGCGTATGAATAAGAGATGGCCACCACTTAGTTAATACGGTGTCCTTCACGTTGAAGGAGATCGATGACTGGCTGTCGTCCTCTCTCTCGGTCCACACGTGAGCAGGGAACAAGCAGCGTCTTGTGCGTCTTTGTTGCAGACCTGAAATGGCTGTTGAGTGTTGAAGTGTCGCTCAGTGAGGTCAGTACCGTAGAGTGGGCTTTTGTTCTGGCATAATTTTTCCTCCTCATCTGTTTTGTTTCAGTGGGCATATCTTGATCTGGTTGCCATCCTGCTTCCTACCATCCTTCATCTCTTTCTCTTTCCGGTCTTCTTCTTATTCACATGGTTTCTCTTTCTGTGCACCATAAGGACAGTGGGCGTTATGAAAAAAAAGAGAGCTTTCCTGAGGAAATTAGCCGTCTGTTGTAGACAAATTGATCGATTAACTGAAGTGTCGTGCTTTGCATGCAAGTCTGTCTGCAGTGGCTTACATGATATTGAACAA